TAACCTTAAAGGTTGCCGATCACAGTGCTCAAAACAAGATGAGTGTTGAGAATATCTCCACCATATTCTCGCCCACTTTGTTTTGTACTGGTGCTATACCGTCGCTACCACAACAACAACACATGTTGCTGCATTTCATGATCCGAACACCTCGGATTGTCCCATATGTGTGAAGTCTTACTGGTTCATTCATTGTATTTATTGATTTTTGACATCTTTTATTTTCTATTTTTTATACAGTCACTAGATAAGTAATGTTTCTAGCATATTCTATTAGCGAAAACGCTTTAATTACGGTGCAAGGCAATTCCTTTTTTTACGGCCAGTGAAGAATCTCCTGGCTATCGGGAAAAACTAACCCACGACATATTATTTCTTCTCGATGCTCACTAAGCTCTTATTGGGTTTCTTACAGCTCATTAATTTTATCGTCAGATTTCTTTCCCATTACAACAAAGCGAATAACGCATTTCATTCAAATTCGATAATTTCACTTGTATCAAACTCTTAATAATAACTTGTATTTATGTACTTTCAGGTACTTCACATTTATTTGTGATTATCAAATTTGTGCGACATCTTCCATGATTTTACATCTTTCTTAAACTTCTCGCCCTTTGAAGATTTTGCGAGATCAGCGAGGTTCCAATTAATCATGTTACTCCGCCTACTTTCCCAGGAGTCTTATCGTAACACCACGCTTTTTGTAGCCAAGATTCAATAAAAGATGGGCAGGAAATTACAAGAAAAAGAACCTTTTTACTCTGGCTGATTTCTGCTCATGTGTACCATTCAGTATATATTTGGAACAAATGCACTCGAATAATATTTTTTTTTCGACAGCTAGCTCTCTTGACTGTTTATCACGACAAAACTGAAGTTGGCGGTCATATAGTTGATTTGTGACAAGAAAATGAACTTGTTTACACTTACTTTCGCTGGTCACGTACAATATCTTCGCTTCTTTTACCTCTTCCAATTGCCTTTTCCTTTTCAGCTTTGCCCACGACGACTAATGATAATTTCCTAGTATTACTGCCTTTGCATGGCTAATTTTACATAAGAGTAGCTGTATATGAAAATACTTTCTTGATCTCCTTGCCACAATTTGTATTACCAACCGCTGAACTCTCACGAAGTTTTATCGATTTATCGATTGATAGCAGATTTGCCTTATTATGGATAAATCTTTTTTTTTTTAAAGAACATATA